ATTCCAATATTTGTAAATATAAGCAGTTTGAACATAGTTTAAAGAACCATAAGCAACATGAACATACAAATAAGCTGTTGAAAACAATGAGAAGACTTTTAATGACATCCCAAAGGATTGTCACCTAGTCATTCAGTCAAATGGCAGTGGTCGTGGAATACGTTACCTTCAATTGTATGAACAGAAACAAAACCTAAACCCTCTGGTAATATTACTGTTCATCAAATTCAGTTGTTACGTATGTGTATATGTGTATTTTTCTTTGAGGTCACATGGTTGCAGTGCAATAAAAATAGCGGAATGTCAAACTAGCACACAGAGCTTAAAGCATTTCAGGAAAGCATTGATTGGTTCTGTCAATGGGCTGAGTACATTTGGAGAATGACCTAATTATCCCAGAGCTCTTTCTTTCTTACTGCTCTACTTCCTACTAATTGCAGGGTGGCTGGCCTCCTCCCCCTGACAAGGAAGAGAACCAAGGACAGGGGTGTGTGGAGAGAACAGTGACATTCAGTTTTAATTCATCTGAACCTGCTGCCAAGCAAGTTTAATTATGTAATTGACAGAGGGAGATCGGTGGGCTTACAGCCACTTGGGCCTGAGTTCCTGATGCTTAGCATTTGCTGAGGTTCTGCTGGGATTTTAGCAGTTACTGTAAAACATTATTAGCTGAGGCTGAACTAATCTCCCTCCCCTTCCCTCAGCAGATGTAGGTACAGAGGTTCTTGTTCTCAGACTTGATTATTTGTCATTAAGGAAAGCAAATTGAAACCAAATTGAAGCTGCTTTATTCCTTAGTAAATGCATCATTATTCTTTGGCGGCAGCTTCGTATTTCATTGTTTTCGCTTCTGATGGTGATGTAGTATCTGCTGTCATGCAAAACTCAGGAATGCAATGTTTATTTCCAGACCAGGAGTGTATTTCCGAGTTACTTAAGACATTTTTACCTCTGAACTTTCATTTGAATGAGCAAAAATATATATGGAAGTCATGGAGCATGGTGAAATACTTCAGACGTGGTAGTTTGTGCTTTATGTGCAATTTTGTTCACGGAGTCTTTGCTCCTCTTTCAGCACAGTGCCAGCAGTGCAGATGTTTTATACCAAGGGGCCCTTCTCTCCTTGCCAACCTTGTGACACTTCAGAAGTACTCTTTTCTCAAAGTTCAGCCATAAGTTCCCTGATTCAGACAAAGCTCAGAGTGTCTCAAACCTTCCTCTTTTTTGGATAGAAGTTCATCCCTGGAGACTGGCTTCTTGATTTTGTAATATCCTGTGTAGTGTGTGTGGGTGAAAAGAAAAGGAGGAAGCCAGAGAGAAGCCGTGCTACAATGAAGTGCAGGAGACAAGGCTCGCAGTTCTGCTCTGTCCTTTATAGTCAAAGGGATTAATAGACATTTTTGTCAGTGAATCACACGGTGGTCCATAAGAACATATTTTAGATGTGTTTTCAATTTTTTTTACTAAATATTTATCAAGCATAGGGTCTGAATTATGTACAATCCTCGTAATAGGGTTGTACAAAGAAATAACACCTGGTGATCCAGGGCACTTTGGATTTTTTTTTTTTTTTTTTTTAAGTACTATAAGCCAAGAAGAAGCATTTGCTCATATGTCCTACATTCTCCTACCTCTCTGTCTTCTAGAAAACAATACTTTGTGCATTTCTGTGGCCTTAATCTTTTATTATGTTTTCCTTTCCTACCAACATAGAAAAATGCTAATAAAATTATCTGTCCTATAGTGGATAGTTAGTAAATATTTACTGAGTGTCTTATATGAGATTTCAGTTCTCAAGAGATCTCTACCCTAGCTGCACATGAGGCAGGGAATAGACAGAGCATTTGCAAACCCCCTTCTGCCCACACTCAGCTGCATCTGACACCATTTTTCCTCCTACTAGGTGTTGTATTCTATTTTTGTTCTCTGTCTCTCCCTCTCTCTCTCTCTCTCTCTCTTGCTCTCTCTCTCTCTCTCTTGCTCTCTCTCTCTCTCTCTCTCTCTCTCTGATTTTTCTTCTGCCTTCTTTGCTAATTCACTTTTTCATGTGACAGCTAAATTCAAAATCCTGACTATTTTATAATATCCTGGAAATTTGTGTCTATTTCTGTCTCTGTAAATAACAGTTTATGTTGTTTCACCTCTAATTTATATTTTACATCCATCCCCCTTTTTTGAACACCAGTCTATTAGGTCTAACTGCTACTTGGAATTTCTTTTTTTTTTTTTTTTTTTTTGTCTTTTTCGTTTTTATCGGTACCGGGGACCAAACTCACGACCGCCTGCTTGCAAGGCAGGTGCTTATGCCGCTGAGCTAAATCCCCAACCCCTGGAATTTCTACTTAGAAGTCTCTCAAACATTTCTGACTCCACATGTCTCATGTTTTATTCTTCCCTGTTTCCTATTGTATCCTCCTCTATTTTCCTTATTTGAGTAAATTACATCTCCACTCAGCTGGAGGCTTATAGCAAAACATAAATAAAAAAAAATTAACAAAAACCAAGAAAGTAGATAACCAGTTGTTGACTGTAATACCCTCACTCCCAACCCAATCAGTCACCAAATCCGATTAATTCTACCTCTAGAATATAAGTCTTCCACTTTGCTCAATCAATTTAACCGCCAGCTGCCCTTCCTCTGAACGGTTTTACTGGCCCCTAAGCCTTTCTATCATTCCACCTTTGCTGCCCTCCACTACTGAACCCTCAGCTAAGGTATTATAGATCATTTCATGCTAGTGCTTTCTTAAAACTGTCAATAATCAGAATTTAGATTCTGCATTATTTGCTTTCACTTTCCAAGAACTCATGCCATTTTTAACTACTGATTTATTTGCATGATTATTTGCTACTTTTAACACAACTATAAGTTGTGTAAGGGTGGGAACTGAGAATATTTTTAAACACTTAACAAACTGTGCTAGGTAGAGAACCTAATATTTTAATACTGGATGATGAAGATTTTATTTGCATGAGCCTATAAATAAATGAAGAAGATGGACCAAACTATGAGGTGAACGGCGGTTCCCTTGCAAACATCATTTGAAGAGTTCTGCTGTAAATTTAGCCACCCACTTGCAAATACATGGGACGGATGAGGTAGACTGAGTCCTGCCTTGGAGTTGTTTTAATTCAGGTCCTATTTATAAATCCAAGGAATTTTCAAGAATTATGTCCTTTCTCTGGTGGGCTTCAGAAGTTACCAGAGGAGTTTACAAAGGGGGATTATAAAAAGTTCATGGTATAGTGTACTGGAAAGGCCCTGTGTAGGCTTGGCTTCAAATACTGGGTCTGTCAGTTAAGTGCACTGTGTCTGTTGACCCATTCCAACTCTTCAGTGCCTCAGTGTCTTCATGTGTATAATTGGCAAGAGGCCACTATTATAGAAAGCTCTTAAAACCTCACTACATGTCAGCAGTTTGGCCATTCAGGACACCTGTTAGCACATGGAAGAAAATGTCTAAATTTTAATTTTTCTTTTTTCACCCCTTACCACACTTCTTGACCTGTTCTACTTTTTTCTTTCCCTTTTTTTCCTTTCCTATTTCATCTTAGTGATTGATAATACTCGTATTTCTCATATAGTTTGAATGTTGTAGAAAGAGAAGTATTAACAGTACTTACAGAACAGATTTCCTTTTGGATTAGAAATTGAAACTTCACAGCTTCTCTGCCAAGCTTTCAAGAGCATTTTCTGGTACACTGCTGTGACACAAGTTCATTTTAGGATAACACGCTGGGAGGGAGAGAAAGAAGACAGAATTCGAGGGGAGAAAATTAAAAAGTTAATTAAAAGAAACAACTTGGTAATTGAATTTCTTTGCAGTCTTCTTTGTTTACTGGGATGGGAGGATCATAATACGTGGTTAGAAGGTATGCTTCTGTGGGACACCCCAAAACTTCTCTATGAGACAAGAAGGAAACTACAGGGAGAAATTGCCTAACAGATGGGCAAGTGTGTAGGATACTTAGGGCAGGCTTTTTAGGAGAACTGGACAAAGCTGCCCTGATGTGCATTCTTGACGACTGATATTTTTAAATATTCTTGGCAGCTGACATCACTATGGCTAAGTCTTGGATGAATAGCAGCTAACATAAATGCATACAAACTTCCCTTCTTGTTGACTTTCTCATATTTGGCTTCGTCATGTATACACAAACACACAAACAGGACAATTACAGCTTCTCTGCCCTCTCAGAAGGTATTCTAGTATCAAATAAAGACAAATATTTTTTTTTAATTTTTAAACACTTGAATATCCTTGTGCTTAATCATACTTTTTCGTGGATCATTAAGGAGTTAGAATAATATATTACAATTTATCATGGACAGCGACAAGGTTTACCAATTAAGAATCAGAGGCTATTGACACAAGACAGTGCCTGCCTGTAATGCCAGCACTCTGAGAGGTTGAGGATGAAGCATTACAAATTCAACTTCAGCCTTAATGGCATAGTGATGTAGCAAGACTGCCTCAATATTTTAAATAAACTAATAAACAAACAAATAAATAAAATTAAAAAGGGCTGAGAATATTACTCAATGCTAAGGCCCCAAGTTTAATCCCTAGTACAGGAAAAACTAAAACAGCAACAAGAAACTTGACACGGGTTTAGTCATGAGCCCAGACCTACCTCACCCACCACCTGTATTTATCCATGCAGTTGACCTGTGTTTGTGAGCACCCACTGTGTGGCAGATACTACTGCAGGTGCTGTTGATAACCATATGCAAATTCTTATCATGGCTCTCATTAATATCAGTTGGGGCTTTGAAAATTAATATTAGAGATAGACTTTATATCTATTCTGCAAAGCATTCTCTAGAAAATGAATTATGTTTTTATCTTGAGGTATCTTCCAAAAAGGTAAGGGCTACTGATTTGAGAACCTCTAACTTCAGGAAAATGAATGCAAATCTAACAATAAACTTGCATTCATCAGTGCGAAAGTGATGAACTGCTGGGTACTAATTAGGGGTTTTGTGTTCATTTCCACAGGTTATGGTTTTGTAGATTTTGACAGTCCTGCAGCCGCACAAAAAGCAGTAGCATCTCTCAAAGCCAATGGAGTGCAGGCACAGATGGCCAAGGTAACACTTCCTGTGTGTGTGTGTGTGTGTGTGTGTGTGTGTGTGTGTGTGTGTGTGTTTTTAGTATTTCCCATTTGTTGTGAGTTGACTCTACGGTAGAGTGAGTATGCAACAATTTGGGTTATATTTATGTTGTAGGAGAAAATAAACTTTACAACTGACTTGCTTTAAAATAATTTGGCTGATTTTTTCATGGTTGCTTTGTAAATATTTATTAATATGCATATATTTATATTTATGTGTTATGGTAATCACATTGTCAATTTAAGGATGCTTTTCAAATACTGTGTTTTGCCTGAGAAAGGAGATAAATTTGCATGAGCATGGCTCATCGGTAAATAGAGTTTTAGAGTAGTATAGTTATCAGTAATTTGCCTTTAACTATACTAAAAACTTTTTTCAATCTTATGTTGGGAAAAACTGACTTTTTGATGATGGAGTTGTCTGACTTGTGCTGAGAAGTGAGTTTAATAAAGCATACTTTGTTTTGCTAGAATTGCACTCCGGCCTATATAGGTGAATGTTTCCTAGATAATATTTTCTTGGTTATTAAAATTTTCAATACCAATTTAATTGGTATGCAGAAGTTATCTGGAGATTTCTATCTAAAAGTATAATGCATTGTCTATGTAAAAATAAAAAAAAACTTATAAAAATGTGTATACTAATTGGAGTTATAATAATTTATACATATGATAAAATAATGTAGAAATTTCATAGTATAGTCGGGTCAGCTTTCAGTTTTCAATGTGATTCTCTACTTATGTATGATGTAACCTTCAGGGAAGCTGGGTTTAAAGCACAGAAAGTCTCTCTGTACTATTTTTGCAACTTCTTATAAATTACTATTTCTACATAAAAAAAACTAAATAACATAGATATTTGACAGATATTTACATTAACATAGTAGTCATTTTAGTTTTATTCAAAGGCAAACCAAAGTTTAAAAATATTCTCTCCAGTTAATTTTACTAAACTTTTTTATCTCCAGGTTGTCAAAATTGTTGAACTCCTGATTCACTGCATTTTTGTGATGTTCATATATTCAGGTGATTTTAGCCATCTCCATAGAGTTGAGTGTTGCCATGATGGAATAATGTCATATTCAGTCACCTGAACTTTATTATGATTAATAAAAATTTCTGAAACCATTTTCTGACTTCAACCTCAGATTTCTAGAGGTGTGATATGTGGTGCTCACCATTTGCGGTTGTCTTCTGACAACTGATATAACCCATATCTGCCAACCTATGTTACAACTCATTTCCCTTATAGAGAACTTGGGTGAACTAATTGTCTTTATGACTCTTTAATTACTATTCAAATGCTTTCAACTGTGTAATATATTCTTCATCAGGATTATGATAATTTTCTGGATTTCCAAAGCCTGGAAGCTTTAGATTGGTCATGAACTAAGATGGATGATGTCTATATTTTTAATTAATAAGAAAATTACACACACGTCTTGGTTTAAAGTTTACTTGGTAAGGAGTCAGTGGTAACCTAAATAACAATTTCTTGTACCCAGAAAACAAATGATGAACTATACCTGTTATATGCAAAATATACTTGAATTTGAGTGAGAAACACTACATTTTCACAAGAAAATGAGTATAAAATTGCTTTAAAAATTATTATTAGAATATTTTTCTTCTATTAGTAAATGACTATAATTTTATAAGTTACTAAAGTAATGACTGCATTGTATATTATTTCTATTGCTTCAAATCATCTCAGACTGTGTGTGTGTGTGTATATATATATATATATATGTTTAAACTTGAATAAGAATAAGAACGAGTAAAAGAAATTTGTCATGGATTCCTAAGTACTGGAGATTCATTTTGGATACTTCTCTGTTTCCTAGGATTCAGGCACATGAGGAGTATCTATTTATTTTCCTTGCGCACATGCTAATTATTGACATCTCACAGTCAAGAGACTATCGGAAGACAAATATTAAATAATTTTAAAATCATTATTTATTGTAGCCAGAATTTTTGGTTTTTGTAGTAAGGAGATTTTAGTCCAAATGTTTAAGGTCACTTATCCCCAGAGTTACCCAGGGATTTTACATCATCATTTGTTCTGTGAGCAAAAGGAATGGTTTCCTTTCACAAAGTTTGAACTGAAAACCTAGAAATTTAGATGCACATCTGCCTTCTGAAAAACTTCAGCAATGAATGACTGTAATTTAGCTACCCAGAAGAAAATAAATAGCCTCCTTTTGAAAATGAAATGGAACAATCTTCACCACCTGTATTAGCAGATTTCTCACTGAGTTATTGGATTTCATGGCCATTTTTCCTTTGTCCTGGTGATAACTGTTGTTTATTATCTAACTCTGCAGTCTACAGGGGTGTGAAACTTGTACTATATTTTTGCCACTTAAATATGTACGAATGGCTTCCTGTATCTATTGAATAGCTTCCTGCATCTACATTCCTATCAATAGCCTACAATGAAGGTTGTGGTATCACATTTTAAAGATGCCAAGATTCTAAAATAAAAATTCTATGAATAACCTAGGTTCCCAATAGCAACCTGGAGCTAATATGAAAATCTCCATGTGAATTGTTTTATTTAGCAAACCTATTCCAATGTGTACACATGAAAATTCCAACAGATGTGTCAACTGAAAGGAATTTTGTAACAAATCATCCAAAATGCAGTAATTGATGGATAAGTAAGCAGGAACACAAACTAATGTTTTCTGTATAATTGCAGTTTGGGCAGAAATGGGTTTTCGGGTTCAAAGGATATGCTTCTTTAGGAAAAGCAGATTTACAATATTTTAGTAATCCATACTAATTAAGAAAATAGGCCTTGAACCTTGATGTTGACAACACCTGGCTATTGTCGCCTTGGTTGGGTTATTGAAATAGCTCTGAAACGCTCTAGTAGTAATACTATGCTTAGGTTACAGAATTACTGTGAGATTTTTTTTTAGATGTTCAACTAATTTGATGTTGTTCCTGGATTATATAAAGAAGTCAGTTGATGTCAATTATTTAATAACTGTTATTATGCATTGCATTTAAATTTGCTACTAGAATGTAAGTCATCATGTATCTTTAAGTGCTGTGATATTATAAAATAGCTTGATGAAAATAACAAAAATAGCATTAGTCAGTAAACGCTTCTATTGCTTACTTTGTTCTCATTATATTGGGTATTAAAGAGTTGATATTGAGTAAAACCTTACTGTTATTCTGAATATTCAACATCATCCCATTGTTCATTACTGTTACAACCTTAAACCAGTAATTTTGGCTAGATACTGTTTTTCGTTGACCTCAAAATACACAGAAAGATCAGACTTCTGCTTTCCTTTATTTCTGACATTCATGCTATTTGTATACATCTGTATGGTGATTTTAATGATACAGCTCTTGTACTGACAGTTAAACCAGAAAAATGAGACAAGTGCAAATAAACAAAAGAACATTATGGCTAATTTTTCCCATCACAAAGGTAACTGACTTCACTAGGGCATAGATAATGTAAATCACAAATTTTTAGTGATCACACTAGAATCTTACTTTAATAAAAGTCAAACTAAATGATCATATCCACTTGGACCAGATATCCAAGAAGATTTCAAGTATTTTGCATGAATAATAAGACATATCATTTCTGCCATGATAGAGAAATATATTCAAAGCAGAGGAAAGGAGTTCTCTCTTGTACATCGATGAAACTGATGTGGATCTCTGGGGGTTGGAGGTGGTGAATGAATTTTTTTTCACTTGTGATTTGGGGCTATGAAAAATAAAATTCCATGACTATAAGAAAGGAAATGTTTTAATAAAAGCATGCAAAATTAATTTAAAAACTATATCATCTCATTCAGGCCCTACAAGGAGAATTTTTGTTAATTAAGGAGGAACCTATTACATAGATTATTCCAAAAGACTATTAAAGAATACAATTGCTAGCCTCAAGATTTGGCTGGTACCTACCAAAGCTACTCTTATGAACGCACAGGTATGTGTTAGACTTTGTTAGCCAGGCTTCTGTAATCTAAGAAATTATTAGTTATCTCTGCTTATGATTATCCAATACCCCTGAATCACCATAATGTAGCAGGAACTACTGGTAAACCACTCAGGCATGCGTCTTCTCAAGAGCTTTCATGAGGAAAAGAAAGTGGCGTGTTCAAGGGTAACTTTTAAGTAGGCAATTAGGGAGATACAGCTTCCGGGAGTGATGAGAAATTCACTCATTCAGTATTTCATAATAGTTGGCCAATGCTGTTTGGAGCACCTAATGCCTCCAGAGTAATATCCAAGTAATTGTTTTGCTGTCGTTGTTCAATAAGACAAGGTTTCAGAGAAGCCTATAGAGTGTTTTTTGCTTGTACCCTAAATTTTTCATGGGAGGAAAAGTGCTAGACACTAAAATTGAAGGAGCAATTTGCCTTTCTCCTACATATCACATACTTGCTGAATGTCTGTACCTACAATGAACCACCATTGTTCTATGTGCTGAAATCTAACCAAGTTTATTGAAGATCACACTCTAATGAAGATAGGCAGAAAATAAACATAAAACAAAGGAATATAGTATACTATGTAGTAAGAATTAGTTTGAAGGCAATTAAAACTGGTTTTGCTTGCAAAACAGATGGAAGATGGAAATGATGGTTTGAGTTTAAACAATATATATATATATATATATATATATATATATATATATTAGCTGAGGAGGGTCAATAAAGACTTCCCTGATGGTATGACATTTGAACAGGTAAGTAAAAGGAATAAAATAAGTAAATTTTGCATATATTTATTTTAAAGATATTTACAAATAATTTCTATAATAATTGAAAATAGAAAAGTTTTTTTTTTTTTTTTTAAGTGAGAACATGTTTAGGTTGTATTATTTATATCCTGCATATCTTTTTGCTACTGGAAGATTTTTGTAGAATACCACTATTCACTGGCCCTATATTTTTATGGGAGCTCTGATTTGAAGTCATCCTAATATAGCAAAGTTTA